GCAACATACAAAATATTTTGTATTAGTCAAAAGAGTTTTTTTGTTTTTTATATTCTTTCAAACTAATAGAAATTTTTATCTTTTCTCCTGTTTTTTATTACTCCCCTATTTTGCAAATTTGATGACTATATTCAAATAGTTGTGCCCACCATGTCCAGGCATGCTAATAGACAATGTTGTACACAAGGTGCATATTTTGCCATTTGTTTACTTTGGAATGAATCAGGCAGTTTTAGCAGTTAGTGGTGGTATCAATTAATCTTAGTCAAGTTATATTGCAAGTGAAGGCTTTCTAAAATAGTGCATGTGTGTAATTTGTCACTAGAGCCTTGTAATATTTCTCTGGGTCTATTTTCTGTGGTCAATAGAGATGAGCCTGCTCTGATGACCATAGCTTCTGCTTTATATAATACATGGATACTTAGTAACTTCCAAACGAGTCATAAGTAAAACTGTTTTTACTATGCAATTCATTACAGTACTAACAGTAGTAGTTAATAGTAACAGTAGTCGTATTATCAGAAGATGCTTTTTATTATGACAAAATATGTGTCACATGACATTTTACCACTTGAATTATTTTAAAGATTTTTTCCTTTATTTTTCTTTCATTGAAAATAGATTTTTTCATACAATGTATTCTGATTATGGTTTCCATTCCTCTAACTCCTCCAACATTCTTCCACTCCCTCCCATCTGAATCAACACCTTTTCTGTTTCATTTTAGGAAACAAACAAACTAGAATAGGACAAAATATCAAACAGACAAAAGAAAAAGCCAAAGAAAAAGCACAAGAAACACACACCTCTATACACACAGGAATCTCCTTAAAACAAAAACCTGGAAGTCATAATATATACACAAAGGACCTCTAAAGTTAAAGAAAAATGCCCCACAAAGCATTTTGAAACAAAGCCCCTCCAAAGATGCCACTGAGCTCATTTTGTGTTGGCCAACTATTGCTAGGCAGGGCAACACAGAGAAACCCAGACCTGAAAAACCAAGCCAAACCAAACCAAACAAGAGTAACTTTTATTTCCAGTGAGATTCCTTCAGAGAGAACAAGTTTTCATCTGTGGGTAAGGTATGGGGGTTTGTGTCCACTTCTCTTACCAGCTGGAACCACAATTTGCACAGACCCATGTAGGTCCTGTGTATGCTTGCTGTCTCTATGAGTTCTTATGTTTACACTCCTGCTGTGTTTAGAAGGCCTGTTTCTCTGGTGCCCTCCATCTTCTCTGCCTCCTACAGTCTTTCTACTCCCACTTCTGTGGGGTTCCTTGTATCCTAAGGGCAAGGATTTGATAGAGACGTCCAATTTTGAGGAAAGAAACCAGTATCATTGACAATGGCCTGAGTTGTATGGGAGTTCCCTTTAGATAAAAACTCAATTCTGGTACCGGGATTTCATTTGGTAATAGGGTATGTCTAATTGGTTCTCTTTCTCCCCAATTATTTGTCGATTTCATTTAGACATGTTCTTATATCTATGTATTTTATCAAGCTTCTACTCTATTAGATCCCCTTCAAATAGTCCTTTTAGTCCTTTACTGTGTCCCTCCCTATATCTCCTTCCTCGCCTCCTCTCCCTTCCCCCTCCTCATTTGATCCTCCCATTTTCCCTCCACCTGACCCTGTTTACCTATAATTATCTTTTTATTCTTTTTCCTAGGCAGATCCTTCCCTACACTCTAGTCCCTTACTCTATACTTAAACCTCTGTGGTTCCATGGATTATAGACTGCTTATTGAAGACCTGACAACTAACATCCACATACACTTGAGTATATACCATATTAATCTTTTGGGTTCAGGGTTACCTCATTCTGGTTTATTTTTTTTCTAGCTACATTCATTTACTGACAGTTTTTTGGATTTCAGGGTTTTTTTGTTTTGTTTGATTTGTTTTTTGTTTTGCTTTGTGTTTTTTGTCGTTGCTTTTTTTTTTTACAGCAAAATAATGTTGCATTCTGTAGATGTATGACATTTTCTTTATTTATTCATCAGTTGGTGGGAATTTAAGCTGATTTCAATTTGTGTGTTATTATAAATATAGGAGCAATGAGCATAGTTGAGAAAGTGTCTGGGTACTAGGATGCAGAGTCCTCTGGATCCTCGGTTCTTAGTCCTTTGAACCAAAAGTAGTACAGCTAGATCTTGAGATAGATCTTCTTTGCAGCTTTCTGAAGTAACTGTACTTCCAATTTCCAAAGTAACTGTATACGTTTCAACTTCCACTAGCAATGAATGAGCATTCTCCTCATGACACATCTTCAACACGTAGCTGTCATTAGTTTTATTGATCTTAGCCATTTTGACTGCCATAAGATGGTTTGAGTTGCATTTCTTTGATGACTAAGGATGTTGGACATGGTTTTTTTTTTTAAGTGTTTCTCTGCAATTTGTGTTTCATCTTTTGAGAACTCTATTTAGATCTGTATTCTGCTTCTTAATTGTGTTGTTTTATATATATAATCAATCTGCACATGAAGAAAACAAGTGTGTGTGTGCGTGTGTGTGTGTGTGTGTGTGTGTGTATCTCAGACACCAACATTTTGTGTGCTACAACAATGATGCTTAGTTAGCAGTAGTCTGATGGTCACGCAAGGCTGTCTCCTCACTGTTTCCTGCAGAAGTTACTCTACTCTGTCGCTTTGTATGCACGTTTCCTTAGCCTTGTTTCTATAAACAAAATATAAGTCCCTCATATTTCATTACATCTCACTTTCTAGAAACTCCTAAAGAAGCTGTAATGGTCGAACTCTCTTTCCATCCTTCATAGGAATCATTCTCTCTCTTACTGCTTTAGTTTTAAATTGAAAAGAAGTATTGAGGGAAAAAAGACTCAGTTTGAAATCCATGCCTCCAGCAAGGTGAAGTTTTGGTGAATCATCTACAGACATAAACCATAGGGCCATGTTTGTTTCTTCCTTATCAAGCATTTATTCATTCAGCAGGGCTCATTGCAAAGGCCTCGTAACTCCAGGGCTCTGTCTCTAGCCCCAGATAGGAGGTTTTCAGTATTTTTTAACAACAGATGGTAATGAAAGTTGAGTCAATTAGAAAGGACTTGGGAAATTAGTTTGTGCTAAGATAAAATCCCAGCTTTACTCTGATTTTTAAACTTTAGTTTTCTTCAACAGGCATTATGGTTCTCTTACTATATGACAGGCACAGTGCTGGGAATTGATTAAAAATAAATTTTATGAAGCTTATAGTATTTTCTGGAAATAAAACTTACTCACAGTGGCCAAATATGGTGGTTATTGTTACTTGTCAACCTGACACATACTAGAGTCACTGGGAGATGAACCTCTGGGTGCTATGGGGGAATTATCTTGATTATGTTCCTTGAGATGGGAAGACCAACTGTAATTGTGGGTGGGGCCATTCCCTGGGCTGGGACTCTGAACTATGAGGTTCTGGTCTTTGAGATGGTGGAGAAAGTGTGCTGCGCCTACATTCACCACTCTCTTCCTCTAAGTGGATAAAATGTGGACCAGATGCTTCAAGAACTGAGAGTTGTCCACCATAGTGGACTTTATCTAGAAGTCTGAACCAAACATCAAGCCTGTCTCCCTTAAGTTGCTTTTATCAGGATTTTTTTTTTTTTATTTTGTCAGTGTATTTGTGGAAATGGGGAACGATGTTTCATTTTGTCGGCTGTGTTCTTACTGTGTTCGTGTGTTCCAGGCCCTCTGGGGTTTAGGTGATCCATAGTCTAGGCTTCGTCCAGGTAAAACAGTTCCTACCACATTATCATCTTACTAAATCTCCAGCTGTAACTTCTTAACCGGCTTTGTAGATCTTGCTGATGCTATGAGACAAGGAACTGCCAAAGATGTCATTGAGTTCAGATTCTGTTGGCCATATTCTACTGATTTCAGTGGGGAGGTCAGAAGACCCACGCATTTGATGTGTAATACATTTGGTTTCAGTATCTCATTACAACTACAAAGAGAATTATTCTTCCAATCTGTTATGGGGTTATTTTAAGTCACTATAATCCTTAAAGAATAAGTTCCCATGAATGCTTAAGAACTATCATGCTTGGAAATATCTGTTCTTGATGGAGACACTCTGACTTTGGACTCAGATCTCTGGCGTTTAGGGCATGACTTTGTAGCAGCCCAGGCTTGAGATATGCTGAGTTCTTTCTGTGGTTGGTATTGGCATTCTCAAACCTAAGCTAAACACCTAGCACTTTTCTTTGTTAGAAATGTATTTAGTTTTTCCAAGGCACTCTGAAACGATTTCCTGCAACTGTAATCTAGCACTTTTTAGTTGTGAGACAATAGTAAAAGAATTACACATTAAATTTATTTCACCCTATTAAGTAAGTCTTGGGGAAAGGTAGGAACGCTAAGAAACTGGGCTTTTCCCCTCTGTGATTATCACTGCAAGCTTCCATAAAAAAACTTCAGTTAGCAGTATATGAAGTTCATACATAGCTATCATTTTGATTTATGGTCTAAAGGCCAAAGTATATTAAATTAAGGCTGGTTTAAAAAATATTAACTGGTTCTATTTTATATGTAGTTCATTAGAATTATATTTGCTATTAACTTAGAAATTTTATTGAATATACCTCATTATAGAGTCTTAGTAGGCATTAAAATTTCCTCAGAAAACAGTATGCACAGTTTTCAGATCACTATGATAAAGCTTCATTAAGAAGCCATGGGAATTTTGCATGTGGTGAGAATATGCCATGTGGTGTTTTCTCCTTATGCACAGATGCTGGGTAGTGTCTGTGACGGGAGAGCCACAGTTAAGAGGCTCTTCAGTACCCAGAGAAGCGTGTGTGCCCTCCTAGAGAGTCATTTAAGAAACTTTGCTGAGAGGGGTTAGGTGTAAATTCATGTTTGTTACTGGTGGTGACACTCAGAACACAGTCTGAAGCTGTGTTCAGTGAACAATCTGAAATCTGTAAGTTCTCTATTCAGAAGCTCAACTCCAGCACTTTCAGTTACAGACTTTGTCCTGATTTTGTTTTCCAGGGCCAGCCAGGGGACCAGGCTTCTCTCTTTACTGCACAAGCACGGCCCTCCCCTCAGCTCCCTCAGTATCCAGGGCTGCAACAAGCACAGGTACCCACACTGCTTTGAAGCAATGGATTCCTTGATGTTTAATGCTATTTATTTGGAATAAGAGATCAAGGAAACTGCTTCTCAACTAGATCTAGAACTTAGTTATTTCTACTTCCATGATTTCAGAACAGTAATTGTTGAATAAATCTCAGGATTGATCAGGGAATTCTTAGATTAGAAATGTAAATTAATTCAGACTTCTTTTCTGCTGCTAATACATATTGAAGCACTTGATCCAAGATGGTGGCACACACCAGTAAATCACCCCCAAGAGGCAGAGGCAGGAGGATCAAAGCCAGCCAAGGTTCTGTAGTTGAGATTGCATCTCAAAATCAGTCAACCAATCAATTCATTAAAATGTTGAGTAATCTCAGTTATTTATGATATAATATTTAATGGTATAATTTGTTATAGAAATTTTCATATTCAAAGATAACGTCCATGAGGAATCATGGTAGAGAACAAAAGAATGTGCCTTTGAGTCAGGTCACAGTATAGGTGCTGTATGATATGTATTTTACTCTGAGGTCTAGCTTCCTTTTCTGTGAGATCAAGAGGAAACATGTAGGATTCAAGGCAACCTATGGACTTAACATACTGTCACATACACAGTAAATGCTAGACAAATTGTGCGTTTACCTTAAAAATAATGTAGACCCTTGCCAAGCACTGGTGCTGTGTACTACTAATGCCAGCACTTGGAAGGCAGAGGCAGGTGGATCTCTTTGAGTTCAAGGCCATCATGGTCTACAGAAAGAGTTCCAGGACAGCCAAGGCTACACAGAGAAACTCTGTCTGAAATAAAATAAATACAATAAAATAAAGTAGTCCTTTATTCTCTCTTCCCCCAAGTTCTTCAGTTGTTTTATTATTTCTGCATCCTTACACCTTTACTCCTTTCTTTTATACAAAAAAGATCTGATGATACTTTGATCAGATTTGTGTTGGGGCTGTCTGTTCATTTCATGTTTACAACTGAAAGGAGCGCCCTGTGTGTCTTACATAGGTCCTGAGTCTAGGTTCCTGTAGGCCTTTAGTGTGTTCCTTCTGCATTTTAGTGTGTATTACTCTTGTCTCCAGAGTCACAGTTCTTACACTGCTTTAATATGTGGTGTTTCGGGGATCCAGAGAGCCAACAGCATTCTGTTCAGAGAATTGTATCTTGTGATCCAGAAAACTCCATGTTTGTCTTTTACATAAGATATCAAGGTTTAGAGAAATTGGTTCTTGTATTAACGGGAAGGTGTACCCTGTTAGTTGATGTTCACTGTGAGTGGTCCCTTGCTTGACCCGCTTTGGAGAGGATACTGATACTGTTTTGGTTATGCTGAATGTTGCTGCCATCTAGGCATGGAATGTGTGGATGCTTCGCTGATTATTTCTGTACAGAAAGGTGTCCTTCCTAGCCCCCAAATAAACAGTTCAACTTAGGAGGCAAATGAATATCTACTTATTTTGAATTAAGAGACTTCTGTGGAATCCTTATCCAGCCAGTCTATTCTGTAAATTTCTGGTTAGACTTCTCGTCTGCAAGAGTAGCCATCCTCCTATGTTGAGTCATCCCAGCCTTTGAGAGCGGTGAATTTCAGGTTGGACCTCCTGGGCTTATCTTTGCCCCGTGTTTCTTAGTAATAGAAATATGGGTGCTAACGGGAGCACTGACATTTTCCTTTATGCCTTCCTGCAGACCATGCCCCAGGGCTACACAATGTATGGAACACAGATGCCTTTGCAACAGGCAGCTCAGCAGCAGCCTGGTGGTGTGGTCCTTTCCCCCAGCTACAACTCCAGGGCCTATCCGGCTGCACATTCCAGCCCAGCGCTGATGGAAAGACTCCGACAGCTTCAGCAGCAGCCAAGTGGCTACGTGCAGCAGCAGGCCTCCCCGTACCTGCAGCCCGTAGCTGGCTCTCAGAGGTGATACCTGTTGAAGTAATTGCAATAGTAAACCCTCTCAGCCTTGGGATTGTTATGCTCCTTCCAGGCATTTGATACTGTAATGGTTTTTGAGCTCCTATATTTGCATCGTGACATCTCATTTTTTTACGAACATGGAGTAGAGGTTCCAAATTCTTTCATTCAAGAACACTGTAGTTTTGACTCACTTCTTCCATTGTGTGCTATGTAAGATTTTTCAGATGATACCAGTGTGTTAGTGCTAGTGTTCTTTCTTTTCTGCTTTTTCTCCAAAAGATTTTTTTATTAAAAGTCTCTAAGAAAACTATTGATCATTGTTAGTAGCGCCTTACTAGAATTTGCTGATTGGAGCCTGTTTATGTTGTAGAACTAACTAATTGTACATGGTCCTTCACAAAGTTTTGTTATAACTTAGTTTTTATTTTTCCCACTTCAGAGATGACTCTCAGCCAACTCTTCTGGTTCTTGTTTTAATCATACCCCTTCCTTCTAGGGTGTGTGTCTGTAGTGCTCCTTCCCGTTGTGCTATCCACACATGGCTAAATTTAAATTGATTAAGATTGATTTAACATTCATTTCTGCAGACACATTAGTCACATTCCGAGTGCACATTAGCCAGCTTTGGCTAGCATGGCTAGATTTGAGGTTCATGATCTGTGCAGTGACACAGACACCTGGTGTTTACAGGAACCCCAAGTTGAACTAGCCCCATGCTGGGCTAGCCCTTGAAATTCTGTTGCTTTGACCAAGGAGCCTTGAAATTTTATTTACTTCTAAACCCTGGTAACTGTCTTACTAGTCCTAAGACAGTTAAGGGCCATTTCATTGGATAGCACAGATAAAAGTCATGATTGCTTATCATATTATCCAATCCCACTAGATAATATAGTCCAGAAGAGTTAGGTTTGTAAAGTTGTGCACTGTGTAGTGGATAGCCCCTTATCTCCCATGTGTTATCATCAATGACTAGCTACATGTCTGCTCAGGGTACTAACTCTCTGAGCATTAGGAAGGTTGTATTTGTGGGAAGTAAGTTAGTTTGTGAAAGATGCATCATGTTTGCCATTTTTTATAATAAGTAGCAGCATAGCAAAGCTCAGTAACTTGAGTGTCAGTGCTCAAAAAGTTCTGGGTTCAAATCCCACTGTGTCATTTTTTTTCTGGATGACTTTAGTTATTTCTCTATGTCCATTCCTTCACTTTTAAAGTTAGATAATAAAACTGCTGACTCATAGGGATACGCAAGAAGTAATGAAATACAATGATTGTTCAGCCCTTCCACTTGCAGTCTTCCTGAAGTAAATAATTAACTTATTTTCACTTAGGGCTAACAACTATTTGATTTTTTTGAAAAGCAATTTCTATGTGATTGCTACATGGCTCAAAGTAGAATGTTTACCGTCTTTTTCCCCGGTCGCTCACATTTGTTATCTGATCCTCTGGCCTTTTCCCGTTTTAATTGTACACATGATTATTGAACACGAATTGTTTCTTGGTGGATGTGTGTAAAATGCTGGAGGCGCTGACTGACTTCCGTGGTACGCCTGGTTCCTGAACACAAGTTGCATTATTCTTTGCCAGACTGAACCATCAGGCTCTACAGCAGAGCCCTCTGGTGGGCGGGGGAATTGACGCTGTGCTGACTCCCGCACATCCCAACCTCCCCTCGGTGCCCCTGCCTCAGGACCCAATGAGGCCCAGACAGCAACCAGTTCGACAGCAGCAGAGACTCCTCCAGGTATGGGGCAGGGAGGTGAGGGCAATGCCATCCCTTCCGGTAGTGCAGATACTTTTACAGTGAAACGTTAAGTTCCGAAGAGCCCTACGTATTTGACACTAAGCAGCTTGGCGAGTACACTGTAGTCCATCTAGAGAGACTTTTCTATTCTCTGTATCTGCCAGGCCATGGGCAGGAGACCGCATTGCACTGAACCATTCCCTTTCCCAAAGCCTCAAGGGACCCATGGATGCCTTAATTTAAATGTGAGCCTCAGCTTACCTGGTTGATAATTGACTAAGAGTCTACAATTTGCATACAAGGTTTAATATTCATGAGAAAAAATTAGGAACAAATGCAGCTTACAGTCATCTCTTTGACAGCCATAACTTTGTGATTTCTACAATACTTCTTCTCTGCTTAAACTGTGGAGATGGAGAAGCAGAGATTACACAATCTGGAGGACTCTGTGTTAGAATCCAGAAAGCTGTCGTTTGTTCGTTTGATATAAATACTTGAGACTTCTAGGTAAATAGTTTCTCCCTTCAGTACGTTAGTGTTTCAGATTTCTTTGTTCCAGTATTATTGTGGATGGGGGATATAGCTCATTGGTTAAAACCATTCCCAGAATGCACAAGGCCCTGGGCTAATTCCCAGCACTGGAATGAAGGAAGAAGGAAAGGCAATCAGGCAGGCAGGTAGGCTGACTATTATGTTAAATCTGTGTTTTTTTCTTCACTATTAACAAGTGATGTTTTTGTGTTGGATACTTCTTGGTAAGACTGTTAAGAGGGCTCTCATTCCCAGTCCAAAATGAGGTGCACTTTATTTTATTTACCTACACAGAAACATGGGGAAATGTGGAATCTAGTCAAGCAGGGTATGTATAAGAGAAGAACTATCTATGCTCTATGAGATGACAGGCAAGAAAGCAGGGATGCAGAAAGGAACTTTCGGGAGATGTGTCTCAATTTTTATGCTGGATGGAGAGGAGGAAAAAAGTAGTTTCCATAAAAATTTAAACCATAGATATGCCCAAGCAATGAAGTCTGAATCGAGTGTGATCTACAAAATTGTAGTTGAGAGGATCAAAGGGAACCAGGGGAAGTGAAGACCAGCCCTCTGTAGAGCAGAGCTTCAGTTATAAGGTGACCATTAGTACATCCTCATTTTGGATAAAGTATTTTAAAAGTCATGGTACATTATTGGTAATACATGGTAACTGATTTGGCTGAGTGTAGCCCTTACCGATGATGTCCTACTCATTGTATGGAGACCGTTGCCAAGGTGGTACACATAAAAACTCTACTCTTGAGTTTTGTCATCAATAAAATGGAAAAGATGAGGGCACTTCTTTCTAACTGTGCATCAGACAAGTCAGCAATTCAATAAGACAATTCAAGCAAAGCACTTGTTTGCTGTTATTTCTAATATGTTTTACTAGCAGAACTATTAAAACAGAGAATGATATGTTCTTTGGCCACCTACAAGTTTGGAGATATTTTTCAGGACAACTATTTGAATGGTTCTGTTTTAAGATTTGTTACTTTTATATCGCCAAGGAACCATGCTTTGTTGCTTACTTACCACTTTCTGCCTTCCCAAGGCATTTTCAAGGTTGCAGACAGATCATTTTCTCACTAGGTAACCTGTACATGTCCCCTGTTAGTCTGTGCTCTGATACTCTTTCTTACCAACAATATATTCCCGGGAGATAAAGAAAGGGAATATGATTCGTCTGTTTGTCTAAATTACATTTATTCTCTTTTTGTGAATTGCTGTTGGCCTAAAGGAAAATGTTAGCAATTGAGAAGTTGAGTTCATCTCTCCTGAAAGTGTTTGCAGAGAACCAAGTGAATGGTAGTTTCCTATGGCAATGCTTCTGGCTCAGCCAACACTGTTCATGTTGACATAGATCTGCACCACTGCTGGGATTCCAAATCTGCAAGTATTGCAGATCTGGAAGTACATATTTATTGTTTTCACTTTAAAAGGTCAAGTAATTTGGGGAATACTATGTAGACAAAGTTGGAAAAATGCGTATGATGAAAATCTAGTCAGATCACCAGTAACTAAAGGCCACTGAGAGAAACTATTTTTTTTTTTTTGCCTTCCCACCACACGCACACACATTCTGTTTCTTCTGTGAATTAGAGGTCTTTTCCAAGAGCTATAGATTTCAGCCAATTTAGTGTGGACAGGCTTTCGTGTTTCATGCTGGTAATTTATTGCATACTTTCTATGGACTAGTTTATATCCTATAAAAAAGGTAAAAATGGAGTCCTCAGGGCTCTTCCAAATATCACAGGGAAGATAGTTGATGATTGGTGCTTGTGTTAGTTGGAAGTGTGAGATAGGTAGCTTGTGAGTGGACAGGCAGAGCATATTGAAAGAGGCCAAAACAGTAAGTGTACAAGATATCCCTGGACAGTGAGGTCTGGCTGCCAAAGACCTTGAGGTCGGTGTGGTCTTGAGAAGGCTTCCTGGAAGAACAAGGTTATGTCATTAAAACACTTGAAGGAAAAGCAAGGTGTGGCAAGGTAAAGATGGAGGATGCAGGGTTACAGGCATTTCTGTCAGTGGCGGGCTGAGGTGATAGTGATCCCTTCAGAGTTTAGTGCAGCCTAAAACTGCCTTTACCTTGTGACACCGTAGCCTTCATTATCGTGATAGCATCATCATAACACAACACAAATGTGTTTGGATGTTGCTGCTGTAAATAAACGTATTCCACTGCCTCTTATTTATATAAGAGCATCACGATAGTTAGTGTGAAGTGCTTAATACTAGGAAAGAATCATCCCTGGATGTGCCTGCTTATTCCTTACGCTCTGTATTGTTGTTTTAGAGTATACTCCTGGTTATTAAAATACCTTTCATGGTTGGAGATGTACCTTAGTAGTAGAGTACTTTCCTAGGATACATGAGGCCCTAGCTTGAACCGAACTAGAGGGAAAGAATAAACAGTATGCTGTGTTTTATCGGCAGCAGGCTCGTGCATCTTGTGTTTCCTATGTCTCTGAATTGCATCATTTACCATGTCCTTAATTCACTCTTAATTTCATTTTGTTTACCGTGGCCCTAGAAGTAATAAGCTATCCAATGTACTTCCTGCAGCCTAGGTGTGTGGTTGGTGAACCACCTAAATTTTTGTAAGTACGCTATACAATGTTCAGACAATGCAAGAATCACCTAATGACATATTTTTTGAGAGTATATCCCAACCATTTTGTGTAGATGGACTAGATAGACTGTGTGTTAGTAAGGGCTGTTCAGACGTGTCTCAGCCCCACAATTTTAAGGGGCTACCATAATCTTTTCCTTTCTTTCTAGATGCAGCAGCCCCAGCAGGCCCCCCAGCCCCAGCAGCCCTCACAGCCCCAGAGTCAGGCCCTTGGTCTCCAAGCAATGCAGCCCCAGCAGCCTTTGGTAAGGCCTGGTGTTTTGGAACCAGGATGTGGGTTTCTCCTTTAAAGCAGGTCCATTCTCCATAGCCATGAAATTTTAAGAGGGAAATAGACTGGCTATACTTGACCAGCTTTCCTAGCATTCTGTCAAGGTTTTCTTCTTACAGGAGTCGGAATGTTTGCTTTCATTAAGATTAATAATTAATATACACTAATAAACTTCAATATACAAATAAAAATGTTGCTTCACTAAATTATACCATTTTCCTTTTTGGAAAAAAATGTAAAGCACTCAATGTATGAAAACCTTATCAGTAGGATATTAAGACATTTTCTGTAAAGAGTAAAGAATGATTTCATGTACATGTAAGGATGACCTTAGATTTTGTTTTATAACTTTCTCACATAGTAAGAAAGTACTTTGTAAAATGACATGTTAGTAATGAATCCAAGCCTCTTTATCCAGTTAGCATTTTCTGCAAGAATTTCCACGTTGTTCATAATCTACAGTCCACTTCTTTAACGTCTCAAATTGAATTTGGGAACATGTGCATGATATGAATGTTTTGAAAACCTCAGTGATGTTGACTGCTCGTTCTTTGTGAGTTCTACCCGGGGCTTGTAGGTTGCTGTACTCATTGCCACTGGGAAGCAGCGGTGCCAAGTGTTGTCAGGATCAGAAAACCAGCTCTACAATTCTGTAGTGACGTAAAAGAGTATGGAGGCATGGCAGCACACTGGGGAGAATCAGTGGAGTTCCTTGGTTAAAAGTTGGACCAAGCAGGTCTCCACTGTGGGACCAGCCCAGTAGAGGGTCCCCGCTAGGGAGTCCCCGGATATATTCCCCCCCTCCATTCTTTTGTACCACGCATCTAGCTTTTCCAGTTTTGATTCTTTTTGTTTAAAAAATATTTATGGCAATCTATATAATCAGGATTCTTTTTTCCATAAATAGAGGCAGTGTGAAACTTGCTTCTTTGTCAGGACCATAAAGTTGACTAGGGCAACTTTTTTAGAGATGCTGTAAAATAGGCTTTCAGCTGGAATACTGCTCACATGCCCTGTGTCCCACCCGGAAGTAAGTTGTAGCCTCCCTCCCTCCCTCCTTCCCTCCCTCCTTCCCTTCTTCCCTCCCTTCCTTCCTTACATAGTTTCAAACCCACAGAAAAGTTTCAAAAACATACAAAGAACTTCCCTTCACCTGTGCTAAGTGCCACATGTGTTTTTGATTCCTCCTCCTCCTCCTTCAGTTCCAGCTTAAGTTTTTCCTGATCTCCACATACCAGACAGCTATAGCCATGTGCCAGTTTCATGTTAAATATTTCCATCTTTTTTTTTTTTTCCCTAGAGGGAGATGGCTGGGGATATAGTTGAGTTAGTAAAGTGCTTGCTAGCATGAGTGAGACCCTGGGTTGGATCTCAGCATGGCAAATCAAATAAACCCACAAACATAAAAACCACTGGCTATGATGGCTGAAGTCAGGACATTGGACACTAATGTAATTCTATGATGTATAAATGGTTTGGTTTTTTTTTTTTTTTTTCACTAAGGCAGTGGTAATTCTGTGTCCTTTCTGCCATGTATTTTCCTGCCTCTGTTTTTTTACTATTTAGCTTCCATGTCTCCTTTACCCACACAGAATTTGCAACAATTCCAAAATGCCCTGACTTCGTCTTAGTAATGATGGGTTATTTATTTATTTTTTAAATGTTACTGAGCTGATGCACTGCTAAAGCATGACACCAAGCAGTTTGTGTATTGGAGAGCTGCTTCATGTACCTGCATCGCGAGAGTATTCATAATTCCTGTGGAAATGGTGTCTGATGGATTTCCATCATAAAGTTACAGCTCCTTTTAAAGTAATAATATAAGGAAATGGTTTCATCCAGTCTGTCCTGTTGCTCGTGAGACTCTCACCCACCAGTGTTGGCATTGGCTGTCTCTTTCTGTTTCTACTGTAGAAGGAGAAAAATGCTTCCTTTCAAATGCTGTTGTATGGTTTTTATTGCCTGATATTCAACTCACAGGAAGAACATCCCCATTGTTGCTTGTCTGTCTTTAAGTCATGTTTCAAATACAAAAGAAGGTGTGCTTTTTTTTTTTAAGATTTAAGTTTTACTTATTTGTATATTTGTGTGTCTAAGTGTTAGTTTGTGCTTGTGAATGTAGTATATCCAGAGGCCAGCGGAGGCATTGAATGCCCTGGAGCCGGAGGAAAACGTACTGTGAGCTCCCTGAAGAAACTTGGGTGCTGGAAGCTGAACTCAGGTCATGTAGAAGAGTAGCGTTTGCTCTTAATGGAGAGCCGCCGCTCCTGCTCAGGATGGCATATCTACAAAGTGAGACCTACCACTTGACCCTTTGATTTAAAAGTTTGGCATTACTAGGAATAGCTTTAAAGTTTTCTTCCAACTTTACTGAGTATCGGTTGTTACACAGCAGTAGTTGGATGAAATTTGCAGATTTAAAAATCATCAAAATCTGGGCTGGATAGATGGCTCAGTGGTAACCACTGCACTGGCTGCTCTTCTAGACATCCTGAGTTCAATTCCCAGCGATCACATGGTGGCTCATGACCATCTGTAATGGGATCTGATGCCCTCTTCTGGCATGCAAGTATATACAGATACATAAAAATAACTGACATATTTTTTTAAAATCATCAAAATCTTTCTCTAATCTGAAGATGTAGCTCAGTGGCGGAGGTCACTTGCCTAGCCCCTACAGTACTCTGGGTTTGGTCCCCCAAACTATAACACAATGAAAAAATTTCTTCCCATTGAATAGGTTATTAAGTCAGACAAACAAAACTTAACACTAGTCTCTGTGTTTTCTATCTATACACAACGAGGCATTTTAAAGGTGTTTTGACAGAGAACCAAAATCTATGCAAATAGGTCGTGTTGAATGTTTGGAACATTTGATGCTGACTGGAAAAATCCTAACTCCTTCCTTATGTAAAACAAAGATTCTCATGCTATAGTACTGTTGTTAGCAGCGGTGTTGAGTGTGACCCTAACGGAAGTAACTATCACATAGTTATTTATACCTTCCTAGTGATTTATGATGTACATGAGTCCTTCACTGTTAAATGTAAGGAACCCAATAATTCGAGAACGGTAACTTGTATATAGTAATTGCCAATGAGGAAATGCTTGTACAGTAATACCATTTTAGCAAAAATGCAAACTTTAAATGTAGAACTATAGTTATTATTGAATATATGACATATTTTAAGCTTTTTAAACTTTTGATTCAAATGTGTAATTAAATGAAATATTACATGCTATGTTCCTCGCAAATAATAAAATCCCTATATTTCAATTATTTATAGTTATTGATATTTAATCTGTATTGTTTCGCAAAAGGAAAAATTTAAAGATTCAGTCACACAAATACGTAACTGCCATCCTAAACATGTCATTGCTTTATGACTCCAGCACTGAGCAGGTGCAAACAACAGGACAGCTGGAGTTCACGGGTCCATCAGCAAAGCCATTAGTGAGCTCTAGGTTCACTGAGAGACGGCCCATTCAAAACTACAAGGTGGAAAGTAACAGGATGACAGTGTTGACCTCTGCCTTCTACATTCAGCTTATTTTAGAGGTTGGGTCAAGGATTTCCTCCACCTGTTACTAAACGGTATTTTATATCATATGTAACAATGATATATGATGTCTTGGTTACTTTTCTGTTGCCGTGAAGAGACACTATGAACTGGGCAACTTATAAAAAAGCATGTTACTGGGGATTCTGAGGGTGAGTCCGTGACCATCATGGTGGGGAATATGGCGGCGGCGGCAGGCAGGCAGGCATGGTAATAACTCAGTGGCTGAGTGGTTGCATCTGCAGACCAGAGGCAGAGACTGGGCTTTTGAAATCTCAAAGTGCACCCTAGTGACACACCTCCTAATTCATCATAAACACTATACCAACTAGAAACCAAGCAGTCCCATGTACGAGCCTGTGGAGACAGTTCTCATTCAAACCTCCGTATTCGAGAAATTATAATGAAGGTACAACAGTAGCTTTGTTCACAGTTGGTGCTGCATAGTTCCCGATGAATGCTAGTACCAAATGCCTCAGACATGTTTGTTATTTTGGGTAGGATAAACAAAGAAACTGAATTCTGTTACTAAACTCTATTTATAGGTCTGGGGAATTTTTTCTTTAAGCCTCCCTGTTGTAGTTTAAAGCAGTGACAGAGGTAGGGAGTCATTGTTGCACTAGCATTGGGGCATAGCTCATCAAAGGTCACTTGACAGTTTTATACTCAGATTATAGTTCTGTAAATACTTAACTGAGTTATTGTGTATAAAAAACATGCAATTTAATACCGATTTCTGAGGTGATACTGGTGATTATTAGACTGTGTGTCACCCACTAGCTCTACCATGCTACCATCCCAAGGACTGAGAAGTAATTCAGAGCTTAGAAGTTAACATTTTTTTTTCTCATTATGCTCATGAGGAGGTAATGTAAGGGAAATAAAAGTCTTTTATTATTTATCAATAGTAAATTTAATAAAAATATGTGATGAGCTTTTTATTTTATTTTTTTCTCCGTTTGGCAGAAGACTTTCAATTCTCACTGAGAAACATAGTCTTGTTTCAGTAGAGAGCTGTCTTTTATAAATAAGCAGGAGTTACAGCCCAGGGACCAGATGGTTTGTGTGTAAAAGGCTCGGGATGGGCCAGGAAATTTTGTGTTTACATCCGAGTGGTCAGTTTTAGAATTAGAAATTATAGGAGCGCTCAATACTGATAGATGTTCACATCATTATAATTCTTTCTTAGGTATACTCTATTTAGTATATTTACATGCTATCTATAAATCTATATTATCACCTACTTCTATCTATCTGTCTGTCTATCTATCTATCTATCTATCTATCTATCTATCTATCATCTATCTATCTGTCTGTCGTAACCCTAGCCTTTAACAACTGAGGCATCTCTTCACTTCCCACTTTGAGACAGGGTCCCACCTGTCACGCTGGCTGTCCGGGAATTCACTATCTAGTTCTGTCAGGTCTCTAGCTCACAGAGATGTACCTGCCTCTGACTCCCAGTCCTGGGATTAAAGGTGTATGCCACTACACCTGGGTATACACATACTTTAAATTATTATTATGATGAAGTCGTGTTTTGCAGTTGCTGAACCCATTCCTCTACTGTTAAAAATTTGGACTGTTACCAGTTTCAAAGATAGTACTGCTAAAGGTATTTTGGTATGTATCCTATACCTTTTTTTGGTTGTCTCATAATAGAAAGAAAACAAATATAAAGATATTTTCAACTAACTATGTATGTCAATATCAAGGGCACAATGCCTCAGCAATTTTAAGGGAAAAAAAATTCACATTTCCTTTTTGATTACGTTCACCGAGATTCACTATTTTTTAAACACCTTGGCTTCTATTCATGATAGACATCTCTAGCAGATCCAAATCTTGTTTCGGGTCTGCTCTTCCACTCAGTTCCTGTCTTTGGAGAAGAGGGTGGTGAGCTGGCTGCTGAGGAGAGGTGAGCTCGGACTCCTCTGGGGTTGATGCTGCATAAAGGAAGGAGTAAGTTGCCACACCACCCTCCTGGCCTGCCACACCCTGCCTGCTGCTGGTTACGGTGGATTTCAGTTCAGTACTTACTCAGGATACTCAGTAAGGCCAGCAGCCTGTGAGGCATTAGGGAGCATGCCATGCGAGTACTAAGTATGCTCTCTGCCACCGGAAGACTGAGAATCATTGGAAATGGTTGGATGGCCGTGTTGTACATGGAGAGTAGCATATGGTGGCTAGACTGTTTTAGTTAAAGAGCTTCAGAAGTTGTACTGATTTGTTAGTTAAGTACATGAACTTAGGTGGCTTAAAATGGGAATTTTTTTTTCTCTCTCTGTTTTGGAAACTGGAAGTGAAAGATGGGGATTCAGCAATGGTGGTTCCTCCTGCTTGCTGATGGGCGAGCCTGTGCCATGCCTCTGCTTGTTTTTCACTGTGCACCAGCTGCCTTTGATATCTGAGCTCTGTTTCACCCTCACATGGTGTTCTCACTGTTTGCACTAATGTACCCACGTCTCCCTTCTTATGAGAGTACCATTCATGTTGTGTTAGATTCCATGATAAGAAGCTCATTTTGATGTGGCTACCTCTAGAAAGGCTCTGTCTCCAAGCGATGTCACCATCTGAGGTCCAGGGGTTTAGGACTATAGCTTTTCTATTTTGAGCCATACAGTTGAAGTCCTCACAGAGATCCAAAGATAGAGAAACATGGGGATTCTGTGATGGAAAGCTTCAGTGTAAGCCACCATTGAAAGGCAGTGTTTGATCTGTTGCCTTTGACTCTGACTTTGTCAGTCTCCTTTAGTTGGTGGCAACCTTTGGGACATGGTAGACAGTGACAGTACACACGGCCAAGTTAACCACTGTATAAAAGTGTTTTTAAGGTCAAAACTGCTTCAGGACAGAAATTGTCACCTCTTCAAGATGTCCTAGGGAAGCTTTTCTGTAAAATGAGTGTGAAAGATTAAGAAAAGCCCACGCCCATCAGTTAAGTGTGGTGACAACTTAGTGTGCATGCCTGTGTTGTTTGCCTTCTGTGAAGAAAGGACAACTAACAGTAGCATCTGCCCTTTCTGGGGAAGTTTGCGTGGTGTCTTAAGCATGGTCGTAAGGGTAGTTCTTGACTTCCAGTCCTTTAAAGGTTCATGTGTTTAAATTACTATTGACCACACGTGATAGATGTAGCGTGAAGCTCCTTCTAACATGTAAGATAATAATATCCACACTGTGTGACAAAGTCTATTCTCTTCATCTTATGCTGCCTTAATCAGGTGACTTAAAATACACTGGTCCTTGGGGGAAGGTTCTGTTATATTCCATTTTGCCGTTCAAAAAACATACATGATAGCTGCATTAGTTAATAACTGCTGTGGCTTTTGACCAGCAGCTACAGACAAAAGTGTAATAGTGGTCTTTCTCGAGGAATTCACGGTCTGTTATGAGAAATTGACATAGTTTTAAGAATGCCCTTAGGATTCAGAAGCCAAATGACAAAACTCTCATCTGTATGATGAGAATATTGCTAGTAAAGGTTCATAGTCCTAATTCAAATAACCTCTGAAAGTGCAAGATTAAATAGGCAAAGCTGAGAAGGGATATTCGGCTCTTTCTGTGCCTTCTATCTAAGGGGGCGGAGTAGATGCTTCTTTGCAGAAATGCAGTATGTATGGAGAGGGGAGATGGAAAGAGCCAGGTTACCTGATGGAAGAGCCCAGACTCTCCTGCCTTGGATGCACTTGGCTGGCAGAGAGCCACTGTGGAAAAATCTGGCAGAAATAAAGAAAGCTCCCTTAGCATGCTCCCTCCTAACCTGGTTCAGCTCCTACCTTTTTGTCTCCTGGGATGCTCTCTAGGGTGCTGTGTCAGCCTGGTTATTATATTCCACACAGGTGGGTGGTACAGACTGAGGTAAGCAGGAGACAACCAGTTCTTTGTGTACGACTAAGCGGTGCTCCTGTCAGAGCATCCCAGTTGTTTCTAGGCCGCAACAAGACAGCCAAGGAGTAGAGAAGGAAAAGAAAGAAAGGTAGTCTGACACCTGCAGTTAAGACGTGACCCAGTATGACTGGTGATTCTAATCAAAAACAGTTTTTCTTCTAGCAGACACTGATCAGTCTCCCCCCGCCCCTCGAACAGTTCCTTGTGTGAGCTTGCTAGAAGGAACGGACGCTATTGTACTTCCAGTTCCCCTCACATAGTGCTAGGAGAAAACTCCTTAAAATATGAGAGTTCTTGGTGTCTGGCTCAGCTCACCCGGCCATGGCTGTCAGGTGGCAGTCATGGCCCAGATGTCACCCGAGCTCTGCCACACAACCTCTGTTCTGCCCATGGGGTCTGTTGGCATTGGACAGATCTCCACAGCAGAGAGCTTTCATCTTGTCAGAGGTGGCAGTGGTTTTTGAATGAGTAGGCTACCTCTGTAGTGAGGACTTCATGAAAACTCTAAAGATAAATGCCAAGCAAGTACCTGCGTGAAGCACTGTTTGCCAGCTGTACTGTAGACAAAACCAAGCTTGTCCAAACTGAGCATGCGTACGTGCGTTAGCCAGCCCCAAGGCGCAGCCTGTGCCTTTTGGAGCACGAGTGGCTGACTCATCCTTCCCCTTGTTGCAATTGCAGTTCCCCAGGCAAGGCTTGCAGCAGACCCAGCAACAGCAACAGACAGCCGCCCTGGTGCGACAGCTCCAGAAGCAGCTTTCTAGTAAGTACCTGTCTCACACTGAGCCAGGGGAGGCCTGGAAATCAGCAGTAACGAGCCCGGCATAGCAGAGGCTCTTCAGAAATCACACTGTGTCCTCTAAAACATTTTAAAAGATGTTTTTAATTGAAATAGAACTCCATCACTTTCCTTCCTCCCTTTCTTCTGTCTTAACTCTCAGCTACCCTCCGTTAAACCCAGCCTAGACCTCCAGTGTCCACTCCTCCTCTTTATTTGACTACTTTTGTTACATGCGTACATATATGCATACAAACATACATACATACATGCATACAAACATGCATACATACATACATGCATATATACGTACATACATAGGTACGTACATGCATGGATAGATGCATACATGTGTACATACATGCATACACACATAGATGCATCTATGCATACATACATACCATACATGCATACATGCATGCATACATACATACTCTTTTTTCATGTTTAGCTTGGTCCAAGGTATTTTATTTTGTCTTAGTTTGATTAGTTTTAGGCCTTTTTCTTCACCTGGAAAAGCCACATTTTTTTTCCCTTAAATTTAATATTTTCCTATTGTTTTATGTGACTTCCCCAAAGCACACCAAACTCCCTTTTCTTGGTTTTATTTTATGGTGCTGAGCATAGAACTCAAGGCTTCCTGTGTGCCAGACACATGTTCTACCGCTTGACTGCAACTCCATGTCCAGCTCCTGTTTTTATAGAGCTAGAAACATTTAAGGGGAAATTCATCCCGTGCCCTTGACTTAGATGACCCCTGTGCCAGGACCTCAGGACAGTCATTTTAGAAATAGGAATGAGTATCCTGTGTTGTGACACACAGTGGCCTGGAGTCACAAGACCTGACTTCTTTGCCAGTGTGGCCATTATTGACTGGGTCACATTTTTCCCCTCTGCAGCGGAAGGAGACAAGTTTTTCCCTTGGCTTTCAGATTCAGTGTTCCTGAGTTACAGAGTGAAACAGTGGTGTGGCATATGTCTGTGGCTGAGGAGGAGCTTTTTGCATGCCGCTTTGCATGTTGGTTTCTTGAAAGAGAGAATTGCCCCCGCTACACTCCTTGGTGTCTCTGCCAGTCATACTTAATATCTTAAATTTTCTTTATTTTATTTTTTTTTTTATTTTTTTTTTTTGGTCTTTAACATACAATGTATACTTGTCTGTGTCGTTATGTAACACATCACCATGTTTGATGAATACATACATGAGATTTTTCTTTAACCCCCAAACCTGAAATCTGTGTATGCTTTCATGTAGCCTCACTTAATTTTGGCAACGTGAAGTAAGATCAGTTTTTTCCCAGCTGTTGTTTAGTAGATATACTCTAGTAAATAATCTGTGATTAAAACAATGGAATATGATGATATTTTAGAGTTAAAATTCTTGCAGAGAATATAACCTGAAGGCAGAGATTTGCTTTATAGTGTTTATAAATCAGTACTGAGGAGTCCTGCGTTACACACTTATCTGAAGAGCACGTCCACTTGCTCTCCTGCCCACAGAGCTGGAGCACAGCTCATGGACACCTTCAGTCCCTTTCTCTAAGCCCAAGGCATTGTGTTGGTAGCTGTGAGATTCTCACGTAGACTTGGCCCCTCTACAGAATACATTTGGTCACATGACATGGTTATTAACTCCAGGGTCTAGCCAGTTGGTCTGTTCTCCCATTCCTGAGGCTGTTACTAAGAGGCCCACCAGAGAGGTGTTAGCTGCAGTGCTAATGCACATCTGTAACTTACTCTTTTGCTTTCCTCTTAGGTAACCAGCCACAGCAAGGAGTGACTCCCTGTGCACACCCTTCACACTTTTGAATCGGAAAGAGAAGACATGAAGTTTATGTTTGCACTGAAAAACAGAAAATCAGATTTAGTAGTCATCATAAGAAGTCTCCTTTGGTCTTAGGTTTATTTATGTTTTCCTATATTTTATGCTACATTTCATGCAGAGGTATTTAAATAAGTAAAGGAGTCATGGTTTGGTTTTGTCATATTTAAAGTAGGTTTTAAAATGTGGATCATGCAGGCCTACTCCGGATAGTGTGGTAGCAGACCTTTTGAAACTGGTGCTTTTTTATCTCATATTTACATAAAGAATGAATTATGGTAGGTTTAAATATTTATGTATTCACTAATTATTTTTTTTCTAACCCGTGGTGGACCAGACTACTGATTTGAAAGATCTCGCAGGTCTCTCGGGAGTGGACACATTTGCTTTTCACTCGACCGTCCGCAGTGGTGGGGTGAACCTTTGTTAGCATCACTTTCATTTGAAGTGTTGGTCATTTCATAAGCACTTTATGAACTTCGTTCACATTTATGAAGGACTTTGCTTCGCTTTTGTTGTGGTCCAAAGGTGCTGAAACAGATTGTTGCTTAGTACTTCCACTTCTTCAGGGCTTCTGCAAGAGCCACCCTGAGATCTGTGGGAGCTTCTTAGAAGCAGCTGCACTCAAATTTGTTCCCAGTGACAAAATCTTTACCCAGATTCTTCATGAAGATACAACATATAACCACGGGAGGCCAGAAGAACCACGGTGGAATCAGTTCATTTATTTACTGCCAGTTTTGGTGAAAAAAAAAAAAACAAAAACAAAAACAAAAACAAAAACCAACTGTCCAGTTTAGGTTCTTCAGAACTTCATGCCAACTTGAGAAAAAAATAAATAAAATCTCACAGCTGGCCTTAGATTCCACAGTGCTCAGACTTAACATGGTTTCCAGAGAATCTGGCCCCACAGTCCAGAGGGTTCTGGTAGTCATCAAAGGTATACTTGCTGTTAATTTTGTATGGTAAGTATTTACAATTTTGAATTTAATTATTAATGTTGGTGTCAGTCTTGGTTGTGTATTGCTTATACTGTATTTATAAACTGGTGCAAAAAGCACAAGTAAAGTAAATTATACATCAAATTTATTATAAAGAAATAATAACTATTTTAACTTTGTTCAAGTATGTCGTAATTTGCTCCTATTAGAGTAAAAAATACAGTAAATTATTATCAGTTTGTGTAACTTAAGAGTATTCCGTATAATATTTTTTTAGAATTAGATGCATACAATTTTGAATGTGAAAATTGCAGGGCATTTTAAGACATGTAGGGAGATTTCCCTGTTCTTTATTGGGCTCACTTTCTTTTTGCCATATGATTTCACATGTAATGTAGTCAAGCATACTGTGAGTAGATTGTCTATGAAGAGCAAACCCTGTAGAACTACTTTTTTAAAATGTAGCTAGTACAACTTCAGATGATTTCTTTCACAGATCATTATTATAAATAATTTATATCTTCCTAGGCGAGTTACCCATTGCAAAGTTTGACTCATTCAAATGACCTCAGATCCATGTTTGCTTACTTTGCCATGGCGACATCATGTGAACTGCTTTGTACACTGTGAAATACCCCCCTCCAGCCTGCTTGTTTTGTGTTTACTCTGGGCTGGAAAAGACTTTGCCAAACATTAAAGACCATTCTTTCCACCGAGTTCACATTCTCTCTGCTCTCAGACAGTGCAGAACATTTCAGTGCAGACATTCCCATATGTCTGCTTTGCTTTCCTCTCCAGGGTCATTCTTAAAATTCACAGAGCTATCCTCCCCCACAGGTAATATACTGATTGACTGCATTCGCAAAACCACCGAAGTGTGAATGTTGTGCCTAGTGAGTGGGTCATGTCCTGTCCTCTCTGGTCTTTACTCAATGGTTGTCGATGGTTAAAACTTCAGTTTCAGTTTGAACCTTATATTTTTGTAGCTCAATATTGCAGACAGCAGAATGAGTGTTAGAATTGCATAGCATTTGTTTGCACTTTACACTTTGCAGAAGTTAATTTACTAATCATTTTGCACATTGAAGGCTATGGTTATTCCGTTGCCGTTGTTTGTTTTGTTTGTTAAGATGAGGAAGGTAAATCATGCTAAAGCCCTCTAGTTCTGAGATGCTGTGGGGGATGAGGAAAAACCTAGAGCTATTTTTCCCTGTGCATTAAAAGGATAGCAACTGGAATTTTAAATTTAGTTATTATATTTACTGCCACTTAATTCTGTATTCTGAGATTTTTCTGTATCTTTCTGTATCTTTTTTCTTTCATAGCAAATGCATGTGGTTGGCATTAAAATTGTCCTAAGGAAAAGCTCTATTGCAGAACTTTGTCCATTGCTGGGTGGGTTGCAGATAGGAAATTAAAGAACAGATCTTGAAATTTAATGGAATTTGACATACTTAGCATTTCTGGCTATAAGAAACCCTTAACACATGTATTATATTGTTAGCTGATTCCTTAGAGTGTGGCATTTCTTGTTTTATGTATCCTTCTTCATCCAAAAGTTGAGGGAGATTACTCTACAGTGGGTATCATTTGACCTCTGGCAGACGTAGAGTACCAATATTAACTGTCGTCAGCTCATGGCTGAGGTAGGGGCCAAAAGAAAGTAGGCATTATGCAGACCCAGTGAAGTCAAGTCCCAAATGATTGGCGTCCCAAATGATTGGCACAAGCTAGCAAAGCTCTTGGTCTTAGTATTCTGAGCTAACTGAATGTCTTTTGCTTTTTTATTTACAAGACTCTTACAATTTATCAATAGATGAAATTCGGACAGAATCCAGAGAAATTATCATATAAAATTCAAGCCTTTAGAATAAAAGAGGTCAATCATATGATATCCCCACTTATATTTGGGTTAAATTAAACGTGTAATATTAGTATGGTGAATTATAAAAATAAAATCCATAATTTAAATACAGTGAAACTTCATTATATAAAAGCAGTCATCTAGACTCTTGGAGAGGGATTTCCCCCTTAGAAAATCTTTCTTAAGAATGGCTCTAAACCATGGGTGCCTGAGCTAGGTTTTAAAGTTATAAAGAAGTTTCATTGTACCTGTAAAGCATTTCAGGACAACAGAGGTGTGGACAAATGTGAAACACACTTTGCACTTCCCAGTGTGTGAGCATTAAGCTGCCCTTTCCATGTAGAAAAGCTAGCCTGCATGTTTTGTTTTGTTTCATTTTTAATGCAGGTATTAAAACTTTCGGTGTGAACAAATGATAAACTAATGATCATAATCAAAACAGTCCCATGCTTGTTTTCTGAAGGTTTTATCAAGATGTTTATAAACCAGTGACAAAACCGTTGTACATTGAGATAAACACAGACTGCAAACCTAATCAATCCTTCCCGTTGTCTCCATTCCTTCTGTGTGCTTTGTTTGTAACACTGGTAGAAAGTGGACACGAGGCAGCTGGCAACTGTTAGCGAGAGAAAGGTCTTTGTACTGAAAATTCAGGTGCATTAGCCATTTGTTAATTTGTAATGGATCATTTTCTCTTAATGTTTGTTGTTATTTGTTGGCAAAATCAAAGTGCCTTAAGTTAAGAGTTTGCTTTGAAATCCATAGAAACTCGGTATCAGTTCACAATGCATTTATTTACAAGTCTCATTGCATGTCCATTGTAAATTTAATACTGTAAATGTATTCAGATTCATTTACATGCCTATGGCTGCCTTTGAGTAAACTTCTTCCAAAAAATAAACTCTGCAGATGTTGGCTTTTGTTCAATCTTAGTTTCTCCCTCCCTGTCAGAGTACCTGAATGTAAGTTGTTGCATAATCAGTACCAAGTAGGTTCTGTGCTCTGCATTTGTAGACTCCAGAATCTGAGGTTTGGAGATTCTGAATGACCAGCGTACCTTGTGGGAGAAGCATCTCACTTCTGTGGGGTTTCCTTGCTGTTGCCATTGAGAACAAGGAGTGTCCTGGTATCTCCCAGGTGATTTTTGGCTTGGGGACTCCCAAGGCCACACAGTGGAGCTGCATTGCTTCTCCTGTCCTCCTGAGCATGCTCCTGGGTGGGTAGTTTATAATTCGGGGAGGGTAGGCCACAATCATCACAGGAACACTAATAACTGCCTGGCCAACATTGTTTTCAGCCTTACAGATATAATTTCCTCTGTCATGAGCTGTCGTTTCTTTGATGACCAATGTGCCATTTTCATGCAATATGTATTTTCCATTGACCTGAGGTCTGTCAATTACATGGCCACCTGGTGTAGTCCATTTGACATTTGGCTTAGGGATTCCATCAGACACACAATGCAGTGATAGCGATTCCCCACTGGCAGTCTTTACCATCCCTAGTTCATATGTCAGAATGACTGGCTTCTGTCCAATTTCTAACAGGATGAGTTTCTCGATATAGCCAACCTTATTTCTTGCTGTACAGCGATACTTCCCTGACTTGCTCCGAGTTGCTTTGTAAAGGATGAGAGAACCATTGCTTGCCATCACGTATGGGGAATTTTGTGGCCTATTAGCAAATTGTGTGCCATCAGGTAAAATCCAGATAATTTGAGGTGGTGGATTCCCATCCACAGAGCAGTTCAATGCTACAGACTTGCCAGCCTGGGCAACTACTTTTTCGTTGAACGGGTTTCTGAATGTTGGTCTTCTCAGCATTTCCAGTACTTCTAACTGCACCACCAACACACTCTCTCCTCCTTCATTCCGAACCACACAGGTGAAATCTGCAGAATCAGAAAGCCTGATGTTCCTAATTTCCAAAGTTCCATTTTGATGGACTGTGATTCTGCTTCCATAGTATGGAGCCTTGACGAAAATATTGTCTGGCATAATCCACGTGATCTGGGATGACGGGATCCCATCTGCTCTGCAGTCGAAGTGTTTTTTGGAGTGCTGAATGGCTGTGGCTTTAATAACAGTTTTGTTTGAGTACAGACCATTGATTAATGGCGGTTTAGCGACAATATCCAGTTTGTATGTCTTAGTGTCATCCCCACTAGGATTCTGAGCTACACATACATACTGCCCAGAGTCAAGTGGTTTCACTTTATGGATGGACAAAGTCCTATTGGCATGAAATGTGTACTTGTCATTGGAGAATGAAATGACATTGTTGGAAGGCAGCAACCAGAATACATTTGGCTTGGGTTCCCCAGTGACCTCACAGTCAAGGACAGCTGTGTCTCCAGCCTTGATCCTCATGTTGCTCTTGTGGCTTTGCCTTATCCGTGGGGTGGCTGTTAACACTGTTAGGTGGACTTTCATTTCATCTTTTCCTAAGGTGTTCTGGGCAGAGCAAATATAATCTCCTTCCTCTGCTATCCCAACTTTGTTGAAATACAAGGTTCCATTGTGGAAAAGGGTGTACCTCTTGGTTCTGTGGCCGCTGTCACCAGCTTGTGCTACACTGTTGACCACTGTCCCGTCAGGCAAACTCCAGGACACCTCAGGCACAGGGGAGCCAGAAGCCTTGCAGTCGACTTGGAAGTCTTTCCCATAGAGCACTTGCTTCTTAAAATGCTGCTTGTGTTCAATTTTGGCAGGTGTCAGTCTTAGGCGGACATGCATCAGGACCAGGTCATCTCCCATTTTGTTTCTTGCTACACATAAGTAGTCACCGCCATCTTTTTCTGTCACTGATCCAATAACCAAGGATCCATTTGGGTAGACATGGATTCGGTTGCCCATTCTAAGAAGAGGAAACAAACGTGAGAATGCAGTGGCAGAAGTTATCCTTTTTGAGGACTAAAAGTGGGGCTTAGGAGATGGCTCAGTTGGGAAGCTGCCTGTTGCACAATTTTGAGACCTGAATTTGGATCTCCAGTGCCCACACAAGAGTTAGGCACGGCAGTGCACATCCATAACCCCAGCATGGAGACAAGTGGCTTTCTGGACCTTGCTAGATATGAACTCTAGGTTCAGTGAGAGACCCTCGTAAGAGTGAGGTGGAAAGTGATTGTGGAAGACCCTAATGCTTATTTACTTCTGGCCACCACACATGCACACACCAACATGAACATGTACATACCTTGCACAAACACAGGAGAAGACTAAACATTGTCACCAATTTATAGACATTTACAGAATACCATGCAATGTAGAAGTGGCCTTATTTATATGATGTGACTTCCATCCAGCCTTACTAAGCTGGCACGGTTGTGCATGTTAAGTTATTTAGTATGAAATTGCGACACATAGATAAAATGAAAATAATTGTCACAGTCAGGCTCATCACCATGCCTACCCCTCTCCCTCTCCACCCCCCCCCTCCCCCCCACCCCCCCCCCCCCCGTCTTTCCCTCTCTCAGCATTAGCTTTATGGGTCTAAGTCACTTATTGTTATCTAAGCCATTTGCTTAAAAAAGCTTTGCAACAAAGCATAGTCTGCTGAAGACAGTACTATTTTCCAAATGGCCTTCAATCAAATTATCTTTATACAATTTTTTTTTTAAAAAAGCTCATTGGTGAGAGGGATCCTAGAAGTAGCAAGTTCTTAAGACATTTTATCTATCAAACAAATGAATACACAGAAATAACATTTTCTGCTAATGAAGAAAAACAACTCATAGGTATGTGCTAAATTAATGCCTGGTGATGCTTTTTTAAATGTGTTAATGAAGCAACCTTTAAGTTACTTAACTAGAAACACTCTTCTCTGCCTGCTACTGAAAACACCAGTCTAGGATGAATTAGAAGCTGAATCGCATGCTGCCTGGGCAGCTGTAAAAGGTTTCTACATTGGCTGGGCACTGTGGACTGATCTTCACTGCCTGTAATTGCCACATGTGACCACCAGGTGGCAGAGCCTAGCTTTAGTGCTAAGAACATACTCAAGAACACCGGTGTGTTTTCCCCCCCTTTTGACAACATGAGGTAAACAGATAAATGACACTAGTTTATCCAGCTACATTGTTATCCTCTCTCCCTCCTCCCTCCCCCCCCCCCGCCATGTGTGTGTGTGTGTTTGTGTGTGTGTGTGTTTGTGTGTGTGTGTGTTTGTGTGTGTGTGTGTGTTTGTGTGTGTGTTTGTGTGTGTACACATACGCATGGGCCATCAGTCCTGTCAGTGTGTATCTTTTCCTGCTCAGCCATCTAGTAGACCCCCAAGCATCTTATTTTTAAACATTTACTCTTTTAGACGTTACATCCTGACTGCAGTTTCCCCCTCCCAGTCCTTATTGACCTCCCCTCTCCCACAGATCAACTCCTCTTTCCAGAGAGAGAGGAAAGAAGGAGAGGGAGAGGGAGCACATCTCCCAGAGATGTCCACCGAGCATGGCCTAACAAGATACAATAAGACTAGGTACAAATCCTCACATCACAGCTGAACATGGCAACCCAGCAGAAGGCAAAGGAACCCAAATGTAGGTAAAAGAGTCAACCCCACTCACCCCACTCCCACTTTTAGGAGTCCCACAAGAACACAAAGCTACACAGCCATAAAGTATATACAGTGGACCTGACCCAGACCCATACAGGGCCTGTGTTAGTTGCCTCAGTTTCTGTGAGCCCCCGTGAGCTCTGCTTCTTTGACGTGTTGGGCCATGTTCTCCTGGCATCATCAATGCCTATGGCTCCTACAATCCTTCCTTCTCTTCTGGGAGGTTCATCTGGCTCTGCCTAGTGTTTGGGCCCCATCAGTTGTGGAACATCAAACCTCAAACTTCCTAATGAACACATTTTAAAAGGTTCCAATGCGGACTGGAGAGATTAAGAGCCTGCAGGCCGGGACAGCAGCAAGCACCTTCACAGTCTTCTGGCCTTCCCAGGACTTCTTGGAGGCTCACTGATACCCACATGAGCAGCCTCAGGTCATTTTCAGATACAGAGAGGTATACAGAGAATAATGATATAAGGAAGGGCATGCTTTTTGTTTATCTCAAGTGTGGAAGGAATTTCCCTGGAAAGAAGCCAAGGTAAAATTATATACACAAATGAAGAAAATAACCAGGTACTTCATACAGATTTTTTGTTTCATCTCCAAGTATTTCTCCTACTCTGTAGAGGAAATCTTCAGAGTGAACTTGATTGACGTCATAGGAAAGCCTGTCTGGTGCCACACTGTCACCTGTTAGAAATATCTCCTTTTGTTCTCGAATTTCTTTGCATGACTAAAAATTCAACTTGTATAGTCTGCAGTGCTTGGAGCTCATCCTTCAAGACTAGACTGTCTGAGAAGTGATGTGGGGTTGGCCTAGGCATTGGGCTTCTGGCAGACATAAAGCCCTAAATGTTGGTTCTTGACGGTACCTCCCTTAAACTGTGTTAGCATTGTATGGGACCAGATTTACAGACATTACTTGGTTTCTCTTAACAGAGATTCAGATTCAGTAGAGCTGGTCAGAGACATTGACCTCAGTGCTTAGAAAAATTTTTAGGTTGCCTACAAGCCATTAAGTTTGAGACCCAGACTCAAATTTTAGTGTGCATCACAATTACCTTAGGGGCTTCTAAGAACACAGACTCCTTATCAAAACAACCCTGCTTCTGATTCAAGTTCTTGGTTAATGTTAATGATATTGGTAGAAAGGTTACCTTAAAAAATGATTTAAAGTGACAGGCCTCGAATCTGATCTAACAATGTTACAATATGTAACATCCTCCGCTAACCAACACTTGAAGAACAGTGACATAAGAAAAGACTTATCTGCTTAGGAGAGGGCTGGGAACTTCCAAGTAGACTTGAAGTGAAAAACTTCAAAAAGAGACAAAACATCAGTTTAACAAGATTGTCTTTCTTTCAGCTATCAACTTGACAAGGCCTAAAATTAACCGAGAGTCTCCACTGATGGATTTTTACACACTACATTGGCCTGTAGAAGGTTGTGTTGATTGATAAGGGGTATACCAGCCCTCCCTAGTTGACACCATCCCTAAGTATTTGGACCTGACCTGTGTAAGAAATCTAGCAGAACACGATCCAGTGAGTGAGCCAGCAAGCAGCATGTCTCCATGTTCCTGCTTCAAGGTCCAGCCTTGAGTTTTCCTTGAGTTCCAACACTGAGTTCTCTCAATGTTCTCTATAGCCTGGAAGCTGAAATAAGCCTTCTCTTCCCCTGAATTGTTTTTGGTCATAGAGTTTGTCACAGCAACAAGAAAAAAAACAGGACAAAGATGATATAACAGGTATAAATATATATACTTGATATGGTACCACCTGGATGTATAACATATATAATATATTATTAGATATTATAATCTATAGTATTATTAGATCTAAAGAATTATGTTCAATGCGATGGTAGTAGAAATGTCAATATTTGATTTTAATATTGGGCAGAAAAACTAAGAAACATTTGAGTTTGACCACACTATAGAGAAAAGCCGATCTAACACACATTTTTAGAACACATTCAACCAGTGTAACACATACTCATCTCACCAGCACATGGAATTTTCTCTAGGTCAGCTCATATGTCAAGTCTCAATAAATTTTTAAAAATTGAAATTATGTTGTATTTCTTTTAAGACAAATGAAATTCAGCAAGAATGAAAAGGCATACAGGTAAATGGGAATTAAATAATGTGCTACTAAATGAACAAAAGGTAATTGAAAGCTTAAGAACATTAAATTGCAACAAACTATCAAAATCTGTATGATTCAGCAATATCAGTATTGAGAAACAGTTATAGCAAGATGTGCAACTTTATAAAAAAAAAAAAAGGTTTCAAACACAGGCTCCTCAAGGACTTAGGGAAACAAAACAAAACTCAAATTAAAGGAAAAGTAACAGGGGAAAAAAAAAGTCAAATTACAAAAAGGCAATGAAATCTGTGGGTTAAAAAAGGGGTAAACACCATAGTAAAACCTTTACATAAATTAATAAAAAAGAGGAAGTCATAAGTCAAAATGGAAATATTATAACTACTTACATTAGTTAATATTGTAAATTGACAGGATCTAGAATCATCACTCAAAACACAAGTCTCTAGGCAAACCTAAGGGATCAGCTAGGTTATCTAGATTAGGTTAGGATCTGAGCATGACTGGAGAGGTTTTGTTGATTAATTGAATTGAAAAGACACACCCTAAATGTAGACAGTGTCTTCCAGTAGCAGCAGCAGCAACATAAGTCATCATGGTCATATTATCGAAACTACAGTTAAATCCCATCTTTCTCCCCAATTAGAATGTTACCAAAAAATGAATAAAGAAATTTTTAAAATATGCCGACATATGAAATGAAAGGAATCATACACTGTTGGTTTGGAGTATAAATTAGTACAGGCTGTGGAAGGCACTATGGAGATCTCTTGAAAGGCTAAAAATATATATGATCTAGTGATGTCACTTTTGGTTTTATATGCAAAGAAAATGAAGTCAACACACAAAAGAGATATCTGTGTGTTTCTGTTTATGTGTCATTTATTCTTGCTAAAGTGAGAAACAAACCAGCCTAAGTGCCCACTAACAAGAAAATAGTCAAAGGAAACATGATGTAGTATCACAATGGAATATTATTCAAATATAATGAGAATGAGCCAGGTGGTGGTGGCGCATGCCTTTAATCAAAGCACTTGGCAAACAGAGATAGTTGGATCTGTGAATTCAAGGCCAGCCTGATCTGCAGACCTAGGTCAAGGACAGCCAAGGCTACACAAAGAAATGAAACCCTGTCTCAAACAAAGAAAGAAAGAAACAAGCAAACAAAAATAATGAGAATGAAATACTATCATTTGTAGCAAAATGGTTAGAACTAGAGGATGTTAAGTGGAATAGCCAGATACACATTGATAAGTAACACTTTTTCTCTATATATGAAAACAAGCCATTCTAAAGTAGTGGTGTCATTACTAGGGACTGAACGCGTGGCAGGGGAAGGAGAGATGGGGACAGAAGCATAGATTCATAGGATTTGTATGTTCTGTGTACGTGTATGTAAGTATTACAGTAAATCCTGTTTCTTTGGAAAATAATTACATATTAATAAAATGTTTTAAACTATGGTATACCCATATGATATAATGCTGTGTATAAAAAGATGGAATAAATTATTCATAGAGAAATAAAAAGGTCCAAAACAAGAGTATTGAAGCCCTTTGACCTACTTCCATTGTTTCTTGTCGGTGAGTTCATCTGCTCTACTGCAATTGCTTTTGCTGACATCAGAAGTCAGCTTCCTTGGTCTGTCAAATTGAACTGAAGACCAAGCCTTCAGTGGCAGACTAGGGTTACTGACACTTAGCTTCAGGGACAGTGTCGCTGTCCAGTGTAGCATTTCCAATGTGAAGACAGTCATTGTTGGACTCCCCAGACATTGTGGTGTAAGCCAATGGTATTTCTGTTCAGTATATATTTATTCTACTCGTTCTGTTCCTCTAGAGAACCCTGATGCTACAGAAACACAAAAGATTATTTTAAAACTACTATGAAAAAGTATATGGCAAAATCACAAGAATTTTTGAAGTACTGAGCAACTTTCTGGAAGCATATGGCCTACTAAAACTGATCAAGAAATAGAAATAGTAATGATACATTGCAGCAGTAGTGAAAAAGTCTTCCATCTAATAAAAATTCTAATATCTTACAGCAGTACCTATGGTTTATATGAATATATAAAAAGTTACTTCCATTCTTCTTCAGGTATAAATAGGATGCCAGGAACTCTGGCAATATATTTTTAAAGTGGCAACATTTTTGTCATTATAAAACAAAACAATAAAAAAATTAAACCCACACCCATGATAAACACAAATTCAAATTTTCTCAATGAAATACAAGTAAATTTAATTCAGCATTTCAATATGTTCATAGAACATGATCAATTAGAGTTAATCCCAGGAATGTTAGGATGGTTTAACATTTGCAAATCAGTAAACGTAATACAACATGATCAAAGACAAAGCCATATGATTATCTTTACATATGCAAGAAAAAGTGCGTGGTAAGGCTTTGTGTCCTTTTATAATAAATCAACAAATTGATACTGAAGGAACATATCTCAAAACATTAAAGCCTATATGTGAAAAATGTACCATAAATATCCCACTGGACTAGAAAAGGCTAAAAGTGTGTCTTCTTAGGTTGAAACAAAACTGTCTCTATTTTCACTGTTCTTACTCAAAGCCAAAAGAATTGTTAACCTGTTGTTTCAATGAAAACCCCATCAAAATTCCAATTGCTTTCTTCCAAGAGGTTAATAAATCAATTCATATAGCACTGCAAAGAGTCTGAGTAGCTGCAGCAATTCTGACAGTGTGTGTGTGTGTGTGTGTGTGTGTGTGTGTGTGTGTGTTTGAGAGAGAGAGGGAGGGAGGGAGAGAGAGAGAGAGAGAGAGAGAGACAGAGAGAGAGAAAGAGAGAGAGCACACTAGTATTGTGAAACTAAGTGCAAAGCTGATAAGTGAAATATTGAAGATACTGAAGGTCACAATAAGAACATATACAGAGGAGAAAATACATGCAAGCATGCGAGTCTAAAGTTCACATTCTCTAGCTCAGCATTTTAAAACTTTACATCATAGTAAACTACAATTTAACATTTAACGTAATTTTGATTCCTGAAAAACCTGAAAATTAATATTGACATTTGAATTAAAAATTACAAATTTGTTCATTATATTCTGTACTAACTTACTGTAACACTAGGAAAAAACCTTCAATTTCCAAGTGTCCATGTAAATTCATATATACTATGTTTAATTTGTATTGCATGTATATTTTAATAAATAAATGTAAATGAAAAAGTACTCAGCTTCATCTCTTTCTAGCATTATATAAAACCATTACACAAAGCCACGGAGAGCACAATTTCTAATTCACAAGCTATAATTTTTGCTTTTAAAACACAGGATTTAATATGTAATGAAGAGTATACAATGAATATCAATTTTTATAATGAATACAGTAAAAAAAGTTTGTATCTGGTAACATCAAGTTTACAGAATTTTGAATGTATTTTACTTGGGGGAGGTCTTAATGTGCCTTTCATAAAGTGTAGTGTAAGTTTAGGAATGGATTATGACATGATTAAAGTGTGTAGCATCTGGTAAGAGGGTCCTGAATGAAACATAGCATCTTCTTCCAACAGCCTCAACATTGCTAGTTCTCTTTTAGATATGGAAATTATGAATAATTTTACACAGTTTTCATTTTTAAAGTAGCTACAAGAAAAGGAACAACTTCCACCAGTATGGAGGCTTATAGGCTTCTCCCATAGCTCTCAACTGTCCAAGCCAAGAATCTGGATCAGAGTGAAGCACCTAAGAGTGGTTTTGTATTCAGTGATGTCAGATGGAATGCCTTTCTTTAGATAGAGTCACCTTCCTGTGCATCCTGGGTTATCTTTGCTGCTGCTGCTAGCTTTGCTGCACCTCTTTTCCATTTTAAAAGTTGTACAGCTAAGTAAACAAAGGGAATAATTCTAAGAGAAACCCTTACCTGTGCCACTGGTCGATGACAGCTTTGGATGGTAACTTCCAGATTATTGTAGGTTTTGGATCCCCAGTAGCTGAGCAGTTCAGTAGTAATTTCTCACCCAAATTCACCTCTGTCCATTTCTGAGAGGCAGTTTCTATCTTGGGGACTGTCTCTCGCTCTTCCACTGTAAGAATCACTACCCTTCTCTCTGAGCCTGAGGAACTGGTGGCAATGCATTCGTAAGTGCCCCTGACTGAAGGATTGATGTTTCTTATATGCAGAATCCCATTTGGATACAAGAAAAACTTGGAACGAGTCAACTGCAGTGGTTTTAGTTCAGTCCCATCATAGAGGACCCAATGAACGCTGGGCTGGGGAGTTCCTGTTGCAGTGCAGGGCAGTTTCAAACTTTCACCTAAAACCCCAACGATGGTTTGCCTCTTTTGCTCGATAATAACAGGGGGAGCTGTGATGACTTGTATCTTAACCGACAGTGAGTCCTGGCCCGATGGGTTGCTGGCTACACACTTGTAAAAACCACGATCAAAAACACTCAGATCATGGATGATCAATGTTCCATCAGGTGTTACCCGGACCTTTCTGCTTCCCTTGGGTGTTTCTGAGATCACTGTTTGGTTCGCAAGTATCCAGGAAACTGTAGGTCTTGGCGTACCTTCTACTCTGCACTTCAGTTCCACAGTACTTCCAGAATGAACTGTGATCTCCTTGACATGTCTCTCCAGGATCCTAGCGGGGTAGGAGACCACAGACAAAGTGACACGAAGGTGGTCTATACCTAGTGGATTCGATGCAGAGCACAGGTACTGTCCACGGTCCTGAATACTGACCCTCCGGATGGACAAGGTGCCATTGGGGTGCACATGGAACCGGCTTTTCTGTGTCCCTTGGGATGTTTCAAGTCCTGATAAGATGAAAAAAAAAAATAGACAGTTCATCATCATTTTTAAACTGACAAAAAATACATTTAAACTATAAAGCATAGTCTTCAGATGGCTAAAGCTGTTTTTCAATTTTTAATTCCCATAAATTTAAATTTAAAATCCGTATAGTTCAACATGACATTCATGAAAAATTATATATATATATATATGTATATGTATATGTATATGTATATGTATATGTATATGTATATGTATATGTATATGTATATGTATATGTATGTATATGTATAATATATATTATCAACTTTCATAGTACTTTTGGCTTTAACATTTTTATTCATTTATTTTAATGTTTTTATTTTTGATATTACAACATGATTAGGTCATTTCACTCCTTCTCTCTCCTCCCTCCAATTCCTCCGTGTATCCCCTCTTGCTCTCTTTAAAATTTTTGGCCTCTTTTTCTTTAATTCTTGTTGTGTGTATGTGTATGTATATTGTGTCTGTGTGTGTGTGTATATAT